TAACCTTAAGCTCGTCCACTAAATCGTACAACGTCAGCAAACATTTGTCTTCCAGCAAAGTCACCATGTACTCGACATGCTCGGGTGTGATCTTAACACGACGTGGCCCACCACGTTGACCAACACTTGGCGTCCAGACATTCGTAGTTCGCGCCCGATTCACCCATCTCCACGCGGTTTGGTAAGCAAAGCCGTTGTGAAGAGCTACTTGAGCCCAATTGCCTCCTTCTCTCGCAGTAGACAGCACGCGTTGGCGCTGGTCGTCCGTGTAGCTGTTGTATCTCATCACTAAATGAGAAGTGCTTCTGCGTTTCTGCCACTGAAGTGCCCATGAGCCCTCTAGACTTCTCGAATTCTGGAACCCCATGATATCAGATACGGATTTGTAAATCGTATTTGACGAGGGTTCTTGTTTTGATCTGAGCATTTCTTGTTTTGATCTGAGAATTTCTCATTTTGGTCTGAAAAAGGTGTATGCTTGAGTTGCAAATTAGACCGACAGTTTACATAAAATGGACAGTTAAACCTCAGTACACTTTCTTGGCTCCAATTCATACATTAAAATTAACCATGGTACGATTATTATAATAATAGCGTGAAGAGTGTATCCATAGGTATTAATCGTCCATGTTTTTCCTTGGGTACAGTAGTTTTGAGATCCAATTCGTTTACCAGTTGCTGTATTAACCGGATTCTCAATCGTAACGGAGTAGTTGCCAATACTGCACACTACGCTGACGAAGCCTCTTTACAAATTTATACTGAACATCTATATGCAGACTCACTCCACTCGTATAATTGTCAAATCTTGTTCTAGTACTTAACACTTCACTCGGATACTCGAACCCTACATATCGAAGCTTCCAAGAAATTATGCACTGTTTCAAGAATACGATGTATCGTCTAGAATTAAAGATATTTATAAACCCCCTAATTTGTTGGAACTACACCAATTACCTCAAGTAGGCAATTTCCTACTTAGATAAGATAATTTCTCAGATCCTCTCACATATCCAACATATGACAGGTTCATCGTATCGCACGAATGATGGTACTGTAGTTTTTTTTTAATGGTTTAGAGAAAACTGCATGTATTAATACTTGTCTTCCACAATACTTGTACATATCACCCCCACACCATTTCCCAGTACGCTCATTTCTAATGGACATTTGTTGTGGTGGCAGCCCAAGTTCAAGGACAATGACTGTCGTTCTTAATCAACATTTTTTTCCCCGGTAACACGTCGTTTTATTCTTGTTAATTAGCAATGTCTCCTCTTGTTCTAAGGTATACTGTATAACTAAACAAAATGCCTCTAAAGCAATTAATATCAGTTTCGTCACGACTGCTGCTATCATCTGCCCACACTTACCGACCAGGTACTACTCTTCAGTTGTTGGTGGTACATGTACTTGCATCCTGCAAGTTGTATATGTCGGCTGACCTGGCTGAGCGTGCATCGGCGATGGACCATGCAGACTGGGACACCCAGCCACGACTGTCCACATTCTACGGGCGTTGCTGCTGGGCAACAGGCTATGTACCTAAACGACCTCTTCGTAAGGGAATTTCGGTCGTACAAACTATTAGCCCCATTCGCCACCTTTACGTAAACGTTAGCGCGGAATTCCTACAGGCCACCTGTGCGGTGTTGTAATCTTCGCCATTTCCGGTATTCTTTAGCGTAGTACAACCAAATGCAGCTACAACGCCAGGTGAGGAATACTACATAATAGGAGTAGAAGACTATTCCACCGCTGCCATAAAGTGTAAGTGTCTTCTGTCAGTATCGTATCATTGTTATTTAAGTTGCATTCCTCGATTTCGTGTTGTTGGTCTCAGAAGTTCTTCGTCCACCCTGAGTAATAGCCCCTACCCGTCATTACGTAAAGGATTTTCGCGCAACAGGTGGTGTGTTCGAACTGTGGTTGTTGAGCCTCAAACGCCTTTGCTGTTCGCAGGTTTCGATTGCGACCTTGGAGTCCTAGTGGGACTCCAGCCTCTCGTTTATCCCATCCTCATCCCATCAGTCTTTTCCATTCCTGCCAGTATCGCATGATCGCAGTTTTTTGTATGGCGTTCATTATACTGTCGGGAAAGACAGTCGAGCACCAAGATAGAAAGCAAAGGAGCTCCGATTGTAATGAAGATTTGCTCTCGTTCGCATCGCCTTAATCTCGATAGTTACAGTGTGCTTTTCATTCTTGGTTATTGTACGATTCATCTACGCCGTGGTCATTCGTGAACTTGCGCCGCTTTCAAGCATTACTGTCTTTTTGTTTGTTGCATTGGAAGCGAGTTTCTGATGGTCACGTTCAAGAAAAGCTTGTTCTTGTCCGCTGTGGCAGTGGCACTGGCCGTGGCCGTGGAGGGATACAGCGTCGAGTCGACGTATGAAGCGAAGCGCATGCTACGCCTGCAGGCTGAGGAAGTCGCGGAGGAGGAAATGGCCGACGACTCCGAGTGTGGCTCCCTAGAAATGGCGGAGGATGACTCGGAATGTGGCTCGCTCGAAATGGCCGAAGATGATTCGGAGTGCGGATCTCTGGAAATGGCTGAGCCTGACGAGGGTGACAACGGTGGGGACACTGGCGGTGACAAGGGCGGAGACACTGGCGGCAACACATGGACGCAGCCGCCCAGTACCGGTGGAAACACCTGGACACCTCCGGCGACGGAAGGCTCCGGCAACTCCGGAGGTAACACTTGGACACAGGCTCCCAGCACAAACACTGGTGGATCGTCTACCGACCAGTGGAACTCGGGCGGCTCAACGAACACCGGGACCGGCGGTTCGAACAATGGAGACAATGGAGATAACAAGGAGTCGGAGTCGAACGGCGACAACAAGCAGTCTGAGTCGAATGGGGACAATAAGGAATCCGAATCGAACGGAGATAACAAGGAATCCGGTGGCGACAACAAGGAGTCCGGCGGCGATAACAAGGAATCCGGCGGCGACAACAAGGAGTCCGGTGGTGATAACAAGGAGTCCGGCGGCGACAATAAGGAGTCCGGTGGCGATAACAAGGAGTCCGGTGGCGATAACAAGGAATCCGGCGGCGACAATAAGGAGTCCGGTGGAGACAATAAGGAG